AAAAACCTACGGCAAATAACAAGAACAAACCTACAGCAAATAACAAGAACAAACCTATGGCAACAGCAAGAACAAACCTATGGCAACAGCAAGAACAAACCTACGGCAACAGCAAGAACAAACCTACGGCAACAGCAAGCGATTAAACAGCAAACAAGCAATTTCCAGCTCTAACAAAACTCCACGGCACGTGCGAAAAAACAGTTTTGCAGCAAATAAATTAATTATAAAAAGAAAAAAAAAATAAAATAAAAAAAAAAACAAAAAAAAAACATATAGTAACGACAAACCTTGGTCAATTATAACTCCGTGACCACCACTATAGCAATGTCAACTATCCGAGAACGCTTTTTTAATGTGAACAAAACATTTAACCTTTCTATTGAGGACTTCAACAAGCAGTGGGCACTTGTTAATAACTTTTGGACAAGGCTCAATGGTTATACATTAGATAATGGTGATGAGCGCAAAACTTTCGTTTGTAGACTTTCAAAACCTAAGGAATCAAGCGGAAGAAAAGAAAACCTCCCCCCTGAAAAGCTTCGCATAACCTGGAAAAGAGACGCTGTGAATTGTGAAGCTAAAATCAAAATAACGTGGTTAGCGGCATCGAATATGGTTATAATTGAGAGGGTAAGAATAAGGATAGCATTATTTAAAACGTTGTAATGTAATATTTTTTATTACAATAAATTAAAAAAAAAAATTGTTTACAGGTAAATGGTGCCCCTGATCATAGCCATTTGATGGAAGAAAGTGACATGCGTAAACAGTCAAAATTTATTAAGGATATGGTAGGCAACGAGGCAATTAAGGACTACAAACCCCCGACAATTGCAAATGTTGTTAGGAAAGAGGTTTCAAAATTGTATGAAGATTCGGGCGTGGAGTATCTAAAAACCAAGGAGGTCACTAATATCAAGCAGAAGCTTGTTGGTTCGATGAATTCACATCTTATTGGAAATGCGAATTTAAAATCCGATATTTTAAGTACAACCAAATTTTTAATAAAAAATAATTATCAAGTTGAGTCTTTTCAAAGGCAAGAATCACTTGAGCGTTCACGAGGTTTATGCTTCGCAAATTCCTGGCAAATAGAAAATTTAATGCGTTACGGTTGGTTAACACTAATGGATTCTACACATAATACTAATAAGCATGGGTGGCGTTTATTTACTTTATACATCTGCGATGGCTGTGGCAGTTGGAACGTCGGTGCCTATTTCTTTGTTAATAAAGAAAATAGTGAGACCGTCGCGTCGGCATTAAGAATTATTCGAAAATTTGCTCCACAATGGAATCCCCGGTATATGCTTCTTGACCAAAGCAATGTAGAATCCAATGGTATTGCGTTAACGTTCCCGGGTCTTTCTGTGGGTAGGGATAAAATGAATTCAAACTTTTTTTTATTTATTTTATTTTATTTTATTTTTTATTTTTATTTTTTATTTTTATTTTATTTTATTATTTTTTTTTTTTTAAAAAAAAAAAAATTTGTATAATTTGTAAATTATTACAAATAAATATAATAAATAAATGCTTTGATCTACGGAGAGCAGAAATGCGATGTTCTTCTTTGCACTATTCACGTCGTACGAACATGGATAAAAAATATTTACCACAGCCCAACACTTAATAAAATGATCCATGCGATGTACAAAAAAACACAGGTTGGATGTGAGGAAGTTATTCGTGATGCCATAAGTTTGTTCTTGCTGTTGCCATAGGTTTGTTCTTGTTATTTGCTGTAGGTTTGTTCTTGTTATTTGCCGTAGGTTTTT